TTTCCTCTCTTTTTACCCCCCCTCCCTTTCTCTTTCTTAATAAATAGATCTAAATCTAGCCCATATATTAATTATTATGACTGCGTGTGGGAGTTCATGTCCAGCCAAGCCTAAACGTCGAAGCACAACTCTCGTTTCTCATGCCGACAACGTTCCAGGTTTATAGCACTCATGGAGTGCGATTTTTTCTTTATTTTTACTTCAGTTAAACATGCAACAACAACAACAAAAGTAAAATATAACTCATTAATTATTTTAGAGATACATGTACAAAGCAGCACGATCTTCAACAATGAAAATCCCGGAAAACGCTGCTACTGGGAAACCAGTAGGATAATAGGATTGTTGATTGTGACATTGTACGACCCAGGAATGTCCGTCCGTCTGACGTCTGTGCGAGGAAGTGACCGATACGCGATTTCCTTTTCAGGAGTGTTTATGCAGTTGAACCCGCCCCCAAAGATTTTACTGTGTCATGGTTAGCTTGCTGCGATTTCAAACCACACTTTTGACGAACGGTAGAGCTACCCTTTCGTTCACTTTCAAGAGCACGATCTTGAACTGGAAACCATTAATTCCCTTGAATCATTCACTCTTCAGATTCGAAAGAAAACAGTTGTCGTCTCTGAGTTCTTCGAACATGGCACAGCTGATCAACGAAGCGAAAGCGAAAGATCTCATTGAAAATGTGGACACTTTCTTGTTTGACTGTGACGGTAAGTTATTTGTGTGTTTCTGTATATAGATCTAGACAAGTGATATGAATAGACTTAAAGAAGGGTTTCTGGAGTTAGATCTTGATCTAGATATCTAGATCTAGCAGTTGGGTCTTTTGGCTTTATTAGTCAAGTGGCAAGGGGAGTCTGCTTTTTTAACTTTTACTTTTGATGTCAACTGTCAACTAGACTCTAGATTCTAGATCTAGATTCTAGATATCTAGATATCTAGATCTATATCTAGATATCTAGAATCTAGATCTTCTAGATCTAGATCTAGATCTAGATCTGGAATATAGACCATGACGAGGACAAGATGTACATTTCTAGATATAGATACTAGATATCTAGATAAGAGATAGATCTAGATAGAATAGATAGAAAGGTCTTCTCATCTTTTCAAGATCCTAAGTTGACCAAACCAGTGTGGGTAACAACACAGTAACAAAAATCAAATATACATTATGTGTGTGTAAGTTTTAAAGTTGGCAGGCTACGTACGTTCACAGCGCCCTGAATGCAGTTTGCAGGCACTGTTGAGGCTACGTTCATGGCTTCAAGCTTCGTTTAGACGGAGCGTCCACTGCCGGTTTTTAAGTAAGCTGGTTTTAGTCAGTGACGTAAATATTTTGGCCTGTTTTTAAAAGCGTTCCATTCCATGAGATGAAGGAAAACGAAGCAGTGGTCCTTTTCTGATCAACCATTCGTCGTTTTCCCTTACACTTACACTGAGCTCTGGCTCAAAGCTCGCCAGTGTAAGGGAAAACGACGAACTCTCAATTACGCAACAACGCATTAGGATA